TGATAAGTATCATTTTACATATTTAAATTATAAAAATGTACAAATAAACTCTTAAACTATTGACGTGTTTCACTTTAACCACTTCTATTAATAGTTCAATTTGTATATTTATATAATTTACAGATATTTGTACACTTTTACATTTTAGAGGGCAAAGTGATCCTTTTTAGTAGTTTAGGTTATTTATTTGGACATTTTTATAGTTTAATGGGTCAAATTGATAATTCTCAATAATTTAGGGGTCATAATATAAATAATCCTAACTATTTATCATTGTGTCTATAATTTAAAAATGGTAAATTACAAGCACATCACTTGATTTGCTTAAAATATGAATTGATCCATGTGATTTTAAAAATTACATTCTGTCTTTTGACATTTTGAATTTCATAACAATTAACTCATTTTATTAATAAACCATTAAGTCAATTAACAGTTTTAATGATATCAAAAAAATTATTTTAATTGATATTTTAGGTAATTTTTTTATTATATAGGAGAGTAATTGTAAATTTTATTTTTTCAATTAATTATGTTAAATAAAAAATTCTGAGAATAAAATATTTGTAATTTTTTAAATTACAAAAAATAATTCAAATTTTAAATAAACTTTAAAAGAGTGTATTTATAATTTACCATTTAGAAACTATCTTTGATACACCATTCTAAATGGTGTCTTGTACAAATATTTTGTTTCTTATATAATTATTCTCGAATTGCGTTTGAATATTAAATTTGTAAAGGAAATGAAAAACGAAGGAAAACATGTATAAAGTAGAAGAAAATTTCTGTTAACTTTCTCTTTCTTCTCCAAACTTTTTTTTCTTTTCTTATTCTTCCAAATATGTGATTCAAACCCATAATTAAAATTAAAAAAAATCAATAGGTCCTATTTTATATTTAAGATTACTAATGAGTCTTATCAAATTTCAATATGAATAACTAAGGCTTATTTGTGATAAAAGATTCTCAAAAGATTCATTACTTCATAATTTATCCCAATTTTACCCTTCCTATTTAATATGAACAACAATGTTATAAATAATTTTAACTTAATTGAAATTTAAAATTTTAATTGTAAAAATTATTAATCTTATACTTATAATTTTGTTTAGGAAAATTCATTTGATTTGAAGAATTAAAAATAATTTAATTATAAAAGTTATAATAAATTAAAATTATTTATGAATTTTTTTGTTTATATTTTAATGAAAAAGATAAAATGAAAATAAAATACACTATTATGAATAACTGAATTTTTTTATGTATAACAATTATAAAAAAATTAAAAGATTTATTTGTTAATATTGAAATTTGATATAACTCAATAATAATTTTCAAAACAAAATAGAACTTTTTGATAATTTTTTCATTGTGATTTATCATTTTTTTAATACAATATCATAATTTTTACAATTAAAAAATATTATTTTACTTACATTAAAAATATGTTCATATTAAATGAGGGATAAAATTGAGATAACATCCATTATTATGGAGTAATGACTTTTTTGGAAATATGTTATGAAAAATAGGACTTAATTGTTCATATTGAAACTTGACAAGACTTGATAGTAATATTTAGAGAAAAATAGGAATTATCGATTATTTTTCCTTAAAAATTTAATGTCATAAATTCTGAAAAATTATTTAGTTTATATTTTTAATAAAATAAAATTCTTAAATTTATAATCTTGATTGTGGTATTTAGTTTACATTTTTTAAATATTAATATATATGTTTAGAGTATCCATGAGAGAAAATGATGGCCCAACCCACATCAAAGAGAGTAGTAAAAACCTTTGGGCCATCAGATTAGGGTTAGGGCAATAATTAATGTTCAGTTTGAAACAGTGGGCCCATCTTTGGGCTGCGCGTTGGCAAATTGGCAATTGAGAGAGAGGGAGACTTGGTGGGCTTGTGGCCCATTTCAGGTAAACTGGCAAGGCTCTGAGAAATATATGCATTGCATTGCACGGTTAAATGTGTGACAAATAAAAAATTGACACTTATTATGTCACATTGTTATAAGTTAAATTGTGAGAATTTTTCATGAATCTATTTTTTTTTTAATTTTAATTTTTTTAATATTAATACTAACTGATTTGATCCAAATATAATTAAATATTTTTATATTAGGATTCTTTAGGAACTAAAGAATAAATGACTAGTATATATATTGCAATACAGACTAGTAAGGGAGACGTTTATAGGGCAACGTCCACCGTTTCTCTTCATACATTTCCAATGTAAAACTTTATTAATTTCTGTTAAACCTTCTTGTCACTACAAGAAATGTCATTTTTAGCTACTAAAAGATTGGTCGCCAAAAATTTAATATTTAGTCGTTGAAATGATTTAGCGACTAAAATATTTTGTCGCCAAACTCATCGCTTATACTCTGTCGGCGATAGTATTGGCGACAAAACTTTGTTTGGTCGCCGAAAGTGACTACATTTCGCTACTAAATTTAGTTTAGTCGGCAAATGTTATGTTTCCGCCACTAAAACTTTTAGTCACTGAATGAGGCTTTTTGGCTACTAAGTTGTTGTGGTTGAGGAAGGTGTCACCTTTAGCTACTAAATAATTAGTCGCCGAAAGTACACATTTGGCTACGAAACTGTATTTAGTCGGCAAAAGGTGCTTTCAGCGACTAAAGTGTTAGTCACTAAAAGTGCATTGGGTTATGTTTTTGCTACTAAATTCTTAGTCACCAAAACATTTGATTACGTATTTAGCTACCAAAATATTTGGTGGCCAAATACTTTAACGTGTTTTTTTAATTTTTTTTTTCTAAACAACCTGTATCCATTATTAATACAACTTGCATCCTGTATAAACAATATAATCCATCAACGCTAAATATGTTATCAAGCATTCAACAACGTGCACACATTTTAGTTCCAACCATCCAAAAAATTAATATTGAACGTCCAATTATATATATATTACAAATTCCATAAGAACCAGTCTAATCCAACGTCAATAATTTAATTTCATACATAATACAGGAATAACCAACTACTCCCACTACACATTTTAGTTCCAACCATCCAAAAATAAGTACTAATAAGTATAAGATGTCATCCTAGCATCACTATAAGCTCCTATTGTTCGAGTCCTTCCATAAAACCCTTAGATTGGAAGGGGCCAACTACTCCCACTCACCCATCTCCTTCGTCCACTGTTGCTGGCACCTGCAGAACCATTGCATGAATGTGAAATCAAGTGCATGTCTAATAAAAATATAGAAATACATATTCATAGTGTCCTCGATCCAATTACACAATGTAAAATTACTGCATAGGAAAAAAATAAAAGACGTGCTTACCTGCAGTACCATGGAAGTTGAACCCATCATCCCAACCAGGCAAATGCCTTTCTGCATTACCTTTCCAAGATTGTTTTCTGGGTGGAGCAAGCAGACAACAGAGTGCATCAGCCAGAATGTAACCAACACGCACAACAAAAAACTGCCACTATAAACAACTAGGCATGTTCTTGATCATAACAGCAAGCAAGGACTTATATGGAGCAATCATATCCCAAACACAAACATGCAGGCACCAATATGTTTCTGAAATATAACACTAATCAATGAGAGTGTTCATCACAATAATCATAACTTTTTTTTATCACAAAATATTATAACATAAATCACAAAGTATTATAATATTACCATTCAAAACTTTATAGTGCATATAAGTTTATTATTCGTAATTTTATCACAAAATATCATAACACCACAAATATTCATAACTTTCACACAAAACATAACTTTCATACAATGTGCACAATTTTTAGGGTGGACGGTGTAAATTTATCAATTTCTCTTTTATGTTTTCTCCTAAATTGTCTAAATAAGAAAAAATATATACCACTAACCTTTCTTTTCTTTTGTTGTTTTTGCCCTGCAGCCTATTTTCAAAATATAAGTCAATCAAGTTTCTTCAAAAAGAGACAATAAAATTTCTAAATATGTTGGATGTCTTCTACATAAATTTGAAAAAATTCACTTCTTTGGTTGTGGTGTTGCCTTGCCAGACACGAGAATAGTATTTTTGTACTAGGGCTACATATCCTGAATAATCTCACTCCAACTGATATTATAGCGAGCCAGTCATAAATCAAAACTAATGGTGAGATGACCCATTAGAAAACCTGACTTAAAATATAATCTCACTACATATCCTGATGTATAGTGGTCTCTGCACAATGAATTACTAAGCACCCATAAATGAAAAATATTGTTAAATGGCCTGACATAAGAGGGATTGCTTCAGCTATTCTGCATATTAGCTTGAAACACTTATATCACAGGCCAAATATATATATATATATATATACGTTATTAAAGTTTCCAATTTGAAAATTTTAAAGGGGGTGTGCATATCCATTTGCTTGAGGCAAGCAACCAAACATTCTTATGTACCTATTTTAAAATTTTCAAGATTCTGGAAGTATGGGACCATGTACCTATATCATATTTATTACAGAAGTATGTTGAGTTACCCATCAAATCAAGTTTAATCCCACTGCTACAATCTAAACTTTTTGAAGAAAATATGATGTAATTCCCTCTATAACTAAAAACATACTCAAATTAGAACCCTTAACATGTTTAATTTTTATTGCACAGTTGGGGCTCATAAATGGGATAAAGGATAATCCAACTCCAACCATATTTTCAATCACCGACCACAAGTTCCTCCTAATTTCAAACCTTCCCAAGATCGCTCACTATACCCTATTGAGATAAATGAATTTTTAAGCATAAGCCATAATTTCAACGGTAGGGTCCTGGAACATCGGGTAACTAACCAGGTCAGATCACCAAGCCATCTATTGGGCTTAAATGTTTTTTGTAGAGCCAGAACAAAATGAAGATACTCCAAAAAAAAAGTCCAGAATCAGTCATTTGTGCATATCCGTTAAATGGCCCCAAAAAAAGAATGGAAACCAATGAGAATATTGCCGTATATTCGGCTACTAATAGAGCAGTCAAACTTCTTTAGGATTAACTTATGATTCACCTCAGAATTTGGAGCCAGTAACACACTCGACTAGGAACAACATTAAAACAGACAAAATTAAAAATGTGAGTGTGTATTTGTATTACTTGCCTTTAACCCTGCATCAGGTGAAAAGATGCATTTTGATGTGATAGCTTGCCCCTGATCTAATAGCCATCCACCCCACAGCAAGTTTGACTATCTTCTCTTTCCTTCAGTGAACTCCACAATTGCTTTGGAAGCAATACCAGATTTTGGTCGTCTCTTACTGACTTTTGCACACTATCATCTAATAGTTCTTGCAGCACATTCTGAAATAATTGAAATTTGAAAACAATTAACGAATCAGGCTACCTTCAGTGACTGTGAGAGTGATAACAATCTTTGGACCACAATCTTGTTCCTTAGCAGGAGAATATTCAGAAGAAACACTAGGTCAAGCCACAAAACTCAATTAATAATTTAATTCTTGTCAATCACCTCCTCTTCCTTAGCTCTTCTTGCTTTCTCTGCCTCCTCAAAGGCATCCTTTTCAATCTGAAATTTCATAAAGATAAAAACTTGCAAATTAGATAATATAACTATCAAATCAACTATAAAGAGCAATTCACATGATAAAAACTTGTAAATAAAATATTTGAGTGATTCTCACCAGCCTTTACCTGCAATGCAATAAAAGAGCTCCAATAATTCCAGGCAAAGCTAAAAAATTTATAACGAAAATGAACTAATTGTAGCTGGTAGCAACTCTTAAAGGGCCCACAATTTGCTAAAAACCAGATTAGAGAAGTTCAAAACAAATAGGGTCAGCATTTTCTTCTTCCTTTTTGGAAAAAAGAAAAAGAAAAAGGAAAATGGGTATTCAGACCGATGACATGAACAACTTTTTCAAAAAAAATAAAAAATCAATAAAATTGGCCAAAGTCCTGAAACTGACAATGAAGCATTGCAACCTTTGACTTCATAACAGCAGAGGTTCACAGACTCAACTTGAATCAGAAAGTGCAAGATCATAGACCCAATTAGAAGAAATAACAATACTTTAATAATAGAGAGTCAAGAGTCTTACTTGCCAAACTTCAACACCTACATATTTTATTGGCTTTAACACATAAAGGTGAGGATCATCTTCAAACTCTGCAGGGAACAAACAAGTATTGTAATTAAACTAATTCACAGAAAAAATTAATTTCATCTTCGACATACCTTTTATTTTTAATTTCCACCTCATTAGCTTACATTCCCAAACAATTAGTGATAAGAATAACTTAAAAAATTAACAAATTCACATAAATTTTCAAAAGTGCAATGACACATCTAGCACTGCCCATGTTACCAGTTAAATTTCTTTAGAACAGGACTGTACCTGGGTTATCAATCCATGGGGTTTTCCACTTGCCCTTATAGTTGGGGTTCTTGATTTTCTGAAGCACCACAAATCTAAAATTAGAAACTGCAACAAAATGGGGTAAAAAATATCATCCACCTTTACAGGTAAGCTTGTGAGTGAGTAAAGGAAATTTTACAGATTCATTAGAAGAAGAAATCAAAAAACAAAAAATAAAAATCAACTTCGGTGACTCAATAAACATGCTAGCCTTTAATTTACAAAAATTCTATCATCTTAGGTGACTTCAAATACATTGGCGAGCCACAACCGTACCTCTCAATCATTTTTCTAACAATTATATGATCATACTTAAAGTGTTTTCATATATATCTAACAATAAATGAATAAATGTATAAACAATCATTTTTCTCACATATAGCGATTCTGGTTCAAGGACATTTGCAGATCTGTGAAGATCGGCGGAGGAGGAGGAGGCGGCGGCGTGAAAAGAGGGCATCGATGGAGGTGGTAGCGGAGGTAGTGGTGGTCGCAACAGTCACGATGGCGATGGCGGAGGAGGAGGAGGAGGAGGTGCTCCGGTTGCCGGCGAACGCGAGGAGGAGCGGCGGCGGGATGGCGACGCAGTTGGACTCCTCAACCCTTCATCTTCTGAAACGAAGAGATGACCCTAATATTTCATTGGAGAGGTATTGATCTCACCCGTTGGTTCTTTAAGTGATCTCCGCCAATTAATTTGTAAAACCTTCCAAAATTTCAAAAAACCCTCAAATATTTTTTTTTCCCAATCGCCGACTAAAGCGTTTTGGTAGCCAAATCTCTACCTACGGCGACTAAAATTGTTTTTCGTCATTGAAAATAAACTATTGGCAAGGTAAAATATAATTTTTTATTTTCCAATCGACGACTAAAGCGTTTTAGTAGCCAAATCTCTACCTACGGCGACTAAAATTGTTTTTCGTCGCTGAAAATAAACTATTGGCGACCAAAATTTGGTCGCCAAAAGATAAAAAATAAATTTTTAAAATTCTTGCGGTTACTAAACAATTTAGTAGCTAAAAGTAGCTTTACGGCTATAAAAATTTCTTTTAGTCGCCAATTGTGATATGTTTAGCTACTAAAAATTTTTGTAGTCACCAATTGTAATATTTTTAGCTACTAAATTTTTTTTAGTCGCCAATAATCAACATTCCCCCACTAAAAAAAAATTAGTAGCTAAAAAGTTGACTTTTGCCGACTAATATTATTTTTGGTAGTCAATTCCAACACTTTTGGCGACTAAATTTTTTTTGGTAGCCAAAAATGGTCGCCAAAAATGTATTTTCTTATAGTGTATGAATTCTTCAATTGAACTAAATAAAATTGAAAAAAAAATTGAAATAACAAAATCAAATCACGCGATCAATTCAGATTTCTTAATGAATAAACTAAAGAATACGATTTGATGCTATTTTTTTTTCTCTTCAAACTCTAATCGAATTAAACCACTTGCATCCATCAAGTGAATGTGAAATCAATTTGATTCAAAAACAAATCAAATTCTTTGAAAATCAATTTATAAGGAGAAGACATTTGATAGACTTATATTTATTATATTTACATAACCAAATTTATTATTATCCATCATAACATAATCATAATTTGGTAGCGTATGAATTTTAATTTCGTTTATTTTCGGTTTGTTGGTTTGGCTTAATTTTACAAACATGAGATAGGCCACTACGTTTTTATTTTTATATACTTATTTTGTGTGTGTGTGGTTAACTACTTCAGCCTTTACTAGGTCTCTTCAAGTTGCTTTTTTCATAAGTAATTAAGCTAATGGGGCCCAGATAGCTTAGGCTCTCACCACATGTAATTTGTAGGGTAGCCTCCCCTCAACATTCCTAACCTAGCAGTGGCACCTGAAGTGTGTGGTCACTATGACATTACTTAATGGAGAAAATCTACAATGTGCATCTTATAAAAGGGCATATGATATGTATTTATTGTATGGTTCATATCGTGTCACATCATAAAAAATGATCTGTTAAATCGGTTATGTAACAGGTTACAGAAAGAATCATTATTTTTTTCCAAATATCATAACAATACTAGAATGAATCATAACAATGTCATAATATTCATCAAAGTGTCATAACAAAGACACTATAAATCATAACAATATAATGACAACTCATAACAAATATTGTTATTTCTAATCAATTATCATAACATTTGAATCGTAACATTTTTTATTATGATTCACCATGACAAATCATAACTTTTAGTAGTACAAATTATAACTTTTATTAATGAATCATAACCACAACTTTTTTCTCCACAATCATAATAAGATTAACAAAATGTCATAACTTTTATTAATGAATCATAACTACAACTTTTTTCTCCACAATCATAATAAGATTAACAAAATGTCATAACTTTTACTAATGAATCATACACTACAAGAATTTTCACTTTTGGCGACTAAATTTTTAGTTACCAAAAGTTAATTTTTAGTCACCGAAGGGTTTTAGCAACTAAATTATTTGGTCGCAATAGTCGTCGTCAAAGAATTGTCAGTAAAAGTAATTAGCGAAAATAATTTTAGTCGCCAAATGTATACAATTTTCGACTAAAATTTTAGTCGTCAAACGGTTGGACATTAAATTAAATTAGACCATTTTCGACGACCAAACTTTTAGTTGCCTAAAGTTCTACATTTTTAGCTACTAAAATTTTAGTCGGCAAAGAGTTCTTCTTTTGACTACTAAACATTTGATCGCCTAAAGTCCCACATTTTTTACTACTAAAATTTTAGTCGGCTAAAATACTCTCTATTGCTTTATAATATTAAGAAATAGGAATATTGTCCTTGGACATAGGAATTGGAAATCCAACTGACACTACACATTAGTATTGTACGGGGAGCAAATATTCCGGCAAGCCCGTACTCCTTTCTTCCGAGCTCGGTCGATGTCCGATCACCTGCGAGCAAGAAACGGTAAGCTACCCGGCGGTGTGTGGCCGGAAAGACCCTCCGACGATCAAGTTAGCACACACCTTAGGATGGATAGAGAGAAGGGAGAGAGTGTTTGAGTGTAAGAATTCCTTACAGAGATGTTCGTGTGTCGCGTATGGGGGGCGCAGACATACTTATATACCCTCTGTGGCCCATATCTACTCCCAGTCGTCTCCTGACACGTGGCTCCTCTTATCTCATCTGTCAGCATAGACCTTGCTGAACATCACCTAATCTCAACTGCCCGCCATCACAGATGGAGCCCGGCAGCCGAACTGCTCTATGCGTTACTGCGCCGTGCCGTGCTTCATACCCGAGCACTTCCCTGGCAGACCAAGGAGGACCGGGCTAGGCGGCATCTCGGCAAAGCCTAGCCCGAAGCACCCCGTGGTCAGCTTTCCTGCCGGTCAAACGGTAACCTCGGCCGACCGCGCCTTTCCGGGCGCCGGTCACTCGACTTGTCTGGCTTCGGCTATCCTCGGACCGAGCATCCCGGTCCGACCGAGCACTGCCTTGCCGAGCCGCTTCTTTACGGTCTGGGACGCACTCGGCCCAAGTTCTGCCCGGCCCAAGTTCTGGCAGCCCATCTCTGGGCGAATAGTACATCATCTCGGCCCAATGCGCTGTTGGGCTCTCAACCTGCTCGGTCGCTACCTCGGTCCAACTCCAGATCATAAATCACCCTCTCAATTGCCCCTTAATTTCGTCCGCGAAAGCGTGACTGGGATTACTCACTTCGACCGAGATAACATTTCTCCGGTTTTCAAGACGCCTAACCTTGACCGGGCTAGTTAACATAATTGTCTGCAAACTTGCCCGGTTATATTCCTCGGCTGACATCCTCTTCGTCGAAAGTAGCTCGGTTGGCTCTTCGTCTTTTCAACCCGTCGCTTCAGCCCTGACTTAGCCATAAATGGGGACACGTGGCGGGCTGCCACTGGTCATCAGGCAGCCAACCCGCCGTTTTTGCCAGAATTTGAATTTGGGTGGACTCCCTTCTACCTATACATACAAGACCTCCCCAAACTCGCTTTCCTCCTACTGCCATTTTGCTATTCGACTCTAGAGCTCTTGTATCTTCATCCAGACTTTGCTGCCATTCTTCGTGCTTGAAGGAGCAGTTTCTGCCTTTCACAGGTAAGACCTTCAACCCATCTATAGTTACTGTTTTCTTTCATATTATACACATTAGGGCACAAAAACGTAGCTCTTAGGGCATAGGCCATAGAAAACGTCCCAAACCTCCCACTGTTCTTGGTGTTCTTCGTCTTCCTGAAGAACACTGAAGAACTGGGACGAACCGGGCTCTTGGTCTTCTTTCGATCCAAAAAACCAATCAAACCGGGCAAACAACATGTTTGTCTCAACCACAGCAAAAACCGAGATAACAAAAGGACTTGGTCGCTCAACTGGGCTAACATCAGGTCTGCTTGGGCGACCGAGCTCCTTAGTTAGACAACCGAGGTGGTTTGGCACTCTTAATGACCGAGCTGAAGTCTAGCTCCTTTTGCGCAACCGCGCTCTCTTACACTTGCCATCCTTTTCCTGCAGAGTCCAAGGGGACCACTGTCATTCCTGAGGCTCTCAGGACCGAGCAGCAACCAATTACCACTGTGCCCAACCCCTCAACCGGGCTATAGTAAGCCGGCCACAAATGGGAAAATTCCGCTTCCTAGTGGATACTCCGGCCGCGCTAGCCGCTTTCAGAGAGGAGTAAGGCATCCCGGCCGACGTCCATCTCGAGCTGGCAGAAGAGGAGACAACGCCTTGGGGTAGGGAGGAATGCCCCTTCACCATGCTATCCATTGTTGAAGGGGGCCTTCGTTTCCCACTTAATCCATTGATAACCGAGTTCTTGCGCCGAACCGAGCTAGCACCAACCCAAGTGTCCACCAACACTTACTGGATAATAAACGGCGTTCATGAGCTAAACAATCGGTTAGGCATTAGCCTAGGTCTAGCCGAGGTCCTACGCCAATACACCTTGGGCCACACCGGCGACGGTTTCGCCTATTACCTCAAGATTAGACGCAGAGAGAAAATCGTGACCGGCAAACCAGACAAGGATCTTCACGACGATGATTTCTTCTGGGTGTCTGGTAACTACGAGACAGCCGAGGTACCGGGCTGGATGATTAGCAAAAATTTTGGGAGCACATGTAAGCCGCGCAAATTATCTCGATTTATACACTTGATGTTTCTGTAGATTAATCATTCTCTTGTTTCTTTTGCAACCATCCAAGCCTTGCAAGCCAACTACAATTTCCCCAACGTAGAGGCAATCAGGACCGCGCTTCGCTACCGCGATCGAGATTGTAACCAACTGCTCGGCTACAGTCCCACATATAGATACTCCGCTCCCCGCCGGAGTAAGGTTACTGACTTCCTCCGAGCTCCAACACCTCCACCGGATCCTACTCTGCCAGACGTTCCCCTCATTCGCCTGACCGAGGAACAAGAGATGGCCAAGCGCAGCAGAATCAAGAACCTGCTCACCGCCACATCCGCCGAGCTGCCGAGCGTTGCAACTCGCTCACCCGTCGCCGGTCAATCCAGTGGCGCTGTGGTCGCCCTTGCCTCTCAACCGCCCGAGCAATCCAGCCGAGAAACTCTTTATTTTGTAACTAACCGGTTTTCCTGTTTCTTTTGCAGCAATCCAAGCCTTGCAAGCCAACTATCAATTCCCCAACGTC